TGTTGTTGTTGTTGTTATTTGCCGTGGAGTCAGCCCTGACTCATAGCGACCCCTCCTTGGGTTTTCGAGGCAGTGTCACTACAGAAGTAGGACTGCCCAACCTTCCTTCCGAGGAGTGGCAGGTGGGTTTGAACCGCCAGCCTTCTGGTTAGCAGTCAAGTGCCTTAGGCACTATGCTACCAGAGCTCCTGAAATTAACATAGCAACCAAAAAAGTATGACTTCTTGAAACATCATTTCAGAAAAATTTTTTTCAAAATGCCTATACTACAGCTTTTAAAAATAATTGCATAAGTCCTGAAATTATTTCATTTCCCTAACAGTTTTATGCAGCAAGATAGAAATATCCACTTTCAGAAAAAGTTTTAAAAGTACTCTACTATTCTCCAAGGAAATGAACATGTTAGAAAAGATAGATGAACTGTGCTTTTCTTCCATCCCCTCATTTTAGAAATACTACACACAAAAGAGAATCTAGAAGAGAAAGAACTACTATAAAATCATCAGTACGAAGCTAGACAACAACATTATATCATTCTGAGTTGAGTTCATACTCAACTTGAAGTTAATGGTTTTGAAAGACAATGTGTTACCTGCTATAAAGAGTACAGTTGTCCAATTGTGAACAATATTTACAGGTCTGATAGTCCTCGATTATTTGTGGCAAAGGAGCAAGCTGTGTCCTCTTTCCGGTAGCAGATTTGCTGATACGGTGAAACAAAAAGAATGCCATCTGGTTTCTCAGCTTTATTAATTCTACAGGGAAAAAAAAGGATGGATGTCCTTTTAAGATTTAAAAAAAGTTTATTATATATCTTTTCCATTAATAACTTTCAGATACAAATACTTAAAAAAGAGGGCATCTTCCTGTATCCCTAGTATATTAGATTATCACAATTAACATTTTGGTATATTTCCTTCAAGCTTTTGTTTACTTGATAACGCCTTTAAACAATTCCATACAGGTTTCTCCTGCTATCTGAAAGTAGAGCATTCCTATGCAAAGCTGAATTCATACAAAGTGAAGAAGCAGTTACCATTAATTTATATGGCAAACATTTTGAGCATTCCAAGACCCAAATAGAACCTACCAAATAACACTAACATACAGTAAAAGCAGGAATGAGATAATACACAGCCTATGTAAAGTAGAACTAATGTATGTACAGTGCAGTTCCTGGGAATGTACTGGGGATGCTACTCTCACGGCACAGGATGTGTGATGCCTGTTTGTTTAAGGCTTGCTCTAAAACAAACACTGAAGGCTAGTATCGCTTTTTGCCTTTTTTTTTTTTTGGTAAAAGCATAAATGCTCTTCCGATAGCTTTCAGTTAGCAAAAAACAGGTATTGATATAAGGTTTTCATAAAAGCAAAGTGGTATAAAGTGAATTTTTGAAAAGTGTAAGGTATCTGTATCTCATACCTAAGAAACACCAGGACACTGCTATTGTATTAGCTAAATACCGAGTGATAAAAAGAGTGTCTCTAACATCAGACAGGAAATTTAAAAGAAATTTATATAACAAACATGTAAAAGGTAAATCATTTTTCAACACTCTACTACAACTACCAATTACAACCTGTATTACGCTTAGCAAGTACAACGAGCAAAAGCTGGAGATAATTAAAAAAAAGAGAGAGAGAGAGAGAAGTAAAACTGAAAGAAAACAGCTCAACCTCTTTTATCCAGATGTTTAGCAGGCACAGGGTACATCTGGCCAGTCTTCAGGTAGAGAAGCAAGCCTGCCTCAGGATCAGCTCTTCTTTCTTGGCTGAGCAGTGTGTACAGAACAACCTGCAAAAAAAATTATACATTCTGTAAAGTACAGCATGGCTTTCTATATAAAGTGTCTTACAACCAAAACATGTTGTGTTGTTGTTGTTATGTGCTATTGAGTCAGACACAACTCATAGCGACCCCTCCTTAGGTTTCCAAGGCAGTATCACTACAGAAGTAGATTGCCCAACCTTCCTTCCAAGGAGTGGCTGGTGGGTTTGAACTGCCAGCCTTCTGGTTAGCAGTC